TGAGTGGAAAGACAAAGGATTGAGAGAAGATATTTGCAACACATAAAACAAATAAAATATTAGTATCTGTGGGCTGGCCAGTTAGTTCAGTTGGTTAGAGCACAGTGTTATAAAACCAAGGTCAAGGGTTCAGATCCCTGGACCAGCCAGCCTCACAAAAAAATTAGAATCCATATATGTATATATATTTAAACATTCTTATAATCAATAAGAAAACAACACAATAAAAAATGAACTAGAATGGCCAATACACATATGAAAAAATGGTTAATCTTAATAATAATAATCAGGAAAAACACAAATCAAAGCCACAATGAAATACAACTTAATGTCCATAGTTTAACAAAAATTAAAAAGTCAAACGATATCAAGTCTTAGTAAAGAGACAGAGTAACAGATATTTTTACATACTGCTGAAGGGAATGTCTTTTATTACAGTCACTTTGGAAGTTATTTGGAAGACTATTTACCATCATCTAGGAAGTGTGAAAATGCACTTACCCACTACCCAACAATTCCACTCCTAGAAATATACTTTAGAAGAACTCTTGCCCATGAGACAGTCTAAGAATATTCAGAATAAAACTGTAACAGCAGAAAAAGTATTACAATGACAGATAAGAATGCTGTGGAATAATCATGGTATGGAATATTATACAGCAGTGAAAATGAAGAGACTGTAGGAATATATATCAAGAAGTATGAATCTCAGGAACATAATTTTGGAATGAAAGACAAGTCAAGAATACATGCATACAATATTACTTTATGCATATATATAGTTGAAAATGTAGAATTTAACAATATTTTGTTTGGAAATAAAAGTTTAAATGCAAATAATAAAAAGGGGGAATTTTTTAAGCACAAAATTCAGGTTATGGTTGCCTCTGGGCAGGGAGGGGAGTAGAGGTCAGAACGCAGAGAGGTTTACAGAGGATTTCAAAGACTCTGGTTATGTTCTTAATTGAGCAGTTGTTAACGTGAGTATTTTTTGTGCTGTGAGTCTTTACGCCATATATATCTTATAAATATTCTTTTGTCTTTTGTCCCAATTCAAAATTTAATAAAGGCAATTTAAAACTTTTAGAGTCATTATACACTCAGGGAATTTATATCACGTCTATGGAAACAAGATACTTATAGGTAAGAAGTTAAAAATCCACAATTTAACTCTGCCCTTGTGGAGCTTAAGTTTAACAAACAAAACTCTGGATTCTAACATACTCTTCCTCCCCCCGTCTTCTGCAATCAGGAAATGGAACCAGCCACCCAACTGTTCAAGCCAAAAAGCTGGGAGTTACCCTTGATTCTGCCCTTTCACTTCCCCCCTACATCTAATCCACAAACAAGTCTTAATGTCTCTATCTTTAAAATACACTTTTCTCTATCTTCACCTCCATTGCTATCCTCCCAGTCTAAACCACCATCTCCTACAGAGACTACTGAAATAACCTTCCATCGTTGTCTTGGTTTGTTCGGGCTGTCATAACAGAATACCAAATACCCGGTGGCTTATAAGCAACAGAAACTTATTTCTCATAGTTCTGGAGTTTGGAATGTCCAAGATCAAGGCACTGGCAGAATTAATATCTGGTGAGGGCCTGCTTCCTGGCACATGGAGGGACATTGTTTCTGTGTGTCCTCACACAGCAGAAGGAGGGAGGGAGGTCTCCAGAGTCTCTTTGATAAGGGCACTAATTCTATTCATGAGGGCCCTGACTCATGACCCAATCACCTATCAAAGGCCCCACCTCTCAATAGCCTCACATTGGGAGTCAGGATTTCAACACATGAATTTTGGGAGGACACAAACATTTAATCCACAGCAACTGTTCTTCCTGGTTCTGCTGTTACCTTTCTATAATCCATTCTTCTCAGAGCAACCACAGCAATCTTTTAAAAACACAAGTCAGACACAAAGAGATACCACTACATACTTGCAAGAAAAGCTAAAATCTAAAAGACTGATAAGGACTAGTAAGGATGTGGAACAAATGGAACTCTCATACACCACTGGAAGGCGCCTATTAAAATTGTAAATATGCATACTCTATGATCGAGCAATTACATTCCAGTATATACTCACAGAATGCACACATGTGTGCATCGAAAGACATGTACAAGAACGTCCACAGCAGCACCATATAGTATAAATTAATATAACTTTGGAAAACACTTTGGTAGCGCCTATTAAAATTGTAAATATGCATACTCTATGATCGAGCAATTACATTCCAGTATATACTCAACAGAATGCACACATGTGTGCATCGAAAGACATGTACAAGAACGTCCACAGCAGCACCATATTTGTCACAGGCAAAAACTGGAAACAACGCAAATATCCATGTACAATACAATGGATCAATTGTATTTTATAATCATATAACAGAATTCTTTTTTTTTTTGTCTTTTTTCCATGTCCGGCAACATATGACAATGAAAAAGAACAAGCTACTGCTACATGGAAAAATATAGATGAGTCTTACTAATATAATATCCAGTGAAAGAAATCAACACAAAGAAGTACTGTATAATTTTATTTATGTTAAAATTCAAAAATAGGCAAAACAAATTTATGATGACAGAAATCAGGATCAAGGTTACCTTTGGAGAGGAGGGGGAGATAATGACAGGGTGCCAGTTCTAATTTTTGATCTAGGTGATAATTATCTGGGTATGTTTATTTTTAAGAAATACTTTAATTTGTATCCTTATAATCTGTGCACTTTTATGTATATATATCATACTTCAATTAAAAATTTACTTTTAAAAAGTTCTGCCTATAAAGGATTGCTGTCAAAATCATTAAAAGTGAACTTGAATCGAAACATGATTGCAGAGAAAAATTCTAATTTAGAGCAAATACGGAAGACAGAGGAACAAGTTAGACATCCCCTAGAGGAAGCAAACAAATCCAGAAAGAGGGACACTCAGAATGAGGGACATTGCCTAAATTGCTGAAAAAAATCAATGTCAAGGAAAAGAAAAAAAAGAAAGAGAGAAGAAGGGGAAAAAAGAAATGTATTTAAAGCAAAAGTTTTTTTTACTATAAATTAACCCATAATGTTATAAAAATTGAAGCATAATTGTTATAAAAACTGAAACAATACAAAAAGTTAAAATTAAAGTGTTTTCTTTTTCCCTCATTCTTCAGAGTAGCCTTTTAAGCTTAAAAAATCCAAAGCACATACATACACATATATAAATGTATACATACAAACACATATTACTATTTTCTTACATTTCTCACAAAATGATATTCTACTATAATATGTTATACGGCTACATTATTTTTTCATTTAAAATATATTTTGGGAATCCCTCTATATCAGTACATATAACTTTCTCTCCGTTTAAATGGCTGGGTATTTTTCTATCATATGCATCATTAAATAGTATTATTCCATTATTTTATATTAAAAACTGTACAATAGTGCTGCTAGTCATTGTTAATTTTTTTAAACTCATTTTATTTATTTAATTTATTTATTTTTTTTAAAAAGATGACTGGTAAGGGGATCTTAACCCTTGACTTGGTGCTGTCAGCACCAAGCTCACCCAGTGAGCTAACCGGCCATCCCTATATGGGATCCGAACCCGGGGCCTTGGTGTTATCAGCACCGCACTCTCCCGAGTGAGCCATAGGCCGGCCCCTAAACTCATTTTAGATAGTGGAACAGATTACTACAAATGGAATTGCTGGGTCAAAATGAATGCACATTTGAGTTTTCATTGGAATTTGCCAAATCTTCATCTAAAACGGTGGTACCAACTTGTACTTCCTCAGTTTATGAGTTTGTTCATTTACCCACAGCTTGAAAACACTAGAAAACATCAATCTTTTAAATTTCTGCCAATCCGATAGAGAAAGCAATATTTTTGTTTCATTTGCATTTTTATTTATTAATAGAACATCTTATGTTTGTTGACCACTTGGATTTTTAAAAATTTCTTTTTCATATATTTTGCTCATTTTTCTATTGGGTTATTCAGCATTATCTTAATAATAGGTAGGCGCTCCAAACATATAGGGAATATTAATGAACTGTCTGCATAGTATAGTAATGTAATTAAGAGTTAGCATTGTAGGCTGGCTGGTTGGCTCATTGGTAGAGTGTGGTGCTGACAACACCAAGGTCAAGGCCAAAAGAAAAAAAGCACATTGTGTATGTTTTAGAGCAAGGACTCTGGAATTAGCTGGGCTCAAATCCTGGCTCTGCCATGTAATTCATAATTGCTATGTGACCTTAGGCAAAGTACTGACTCTCTCTGCCTCACTCTCCTCATCTGTCAAATGAGGACCATAATGGTATCTATCTCACAGACATGTTCTAAGGATGAACAGATCTTTGTGAAGCACATGGAATAGTCCATGTAATTGCAATCTAAATGTTTATTAAATAAATAAATACATTCACACATTCATGCTGCTGGTGTCTTTTTCTGCTCCTTTATTATCCTGTCTTAATTCTTAGGCTTGTAGCTTTCTGTTCACGGACTGCAGATTTCAGATATGATAAAGTGCCCTTAAGACATCTGTAATCATTATCAATATTTATTATGTTGAACCATATGAAATGGCCAGTTTTGGAGCTAAAAAGATCAAATACCAGCAATCGCATGTGGTTGCAACCTAGTACACATACTGATTTTAACAAATAAAAAGCAGACCCTATGAAATCTCCCTTAGGACTATTTAACCTTCTTCTATCCAACTGCATCCTCACCATATGAGCTCTGAATTACTTCAGTACTTGCCCGGGTTTCTTGGATAACGGATTGTAATTTTCTAGTTTCTGGAAAGTTACATCTGTCACCATAAAGTGTTATTTTGGTAAATTTAATGTGGGAATAAACAGCCTTAGGACTGATCTCCCTAAGGTGACCTGAAAATTAAGGAAACTGGCCTTCAGAGCTAAAAACATAGATCCAAGGTGAGCCCCACTCCATGCAGTCATTGGAATAAAAGCTACCTCACGACAGCACCCAAAACCCACCTGGTACATTCCTTTAATAACAGTAATGGCATCAGCTAACTGCTGATGGAAGCATTTTCTTATGTTATCCTCATTCTGCAAACCAAAAATAAATACAATCAGCACCACAATGTATTTCCAAGTATGACTCACACCTACCAGGGAGAGACTCACAGTAAAGAACTATCATCCAAATTATCACAATCTCTCATTTCTCCCTCACTAACATTCAATTTTTACTACACTTAACCAAAAGCAATAGCAAAATCATACAGTTAAAATAAATACAGATAATTTGAACCCTTCATTTCATTTTGCATATCAATTAAAGTCTTTTAGAACCTTCCTAGAACTGCTTTTAGAAGTATTAAAATCTATTTGTGATTTATATCTTCTGGTCTTTAAATTTTTTGAGCATAATATGTTTGTGAAAAGAAATCTAGAGTGACTGATCTGTAAACTAGAGTCATTTCTGATTAATCAAATAATTTAATCATATCTGTTTAGGTCACAATGAGAGAGATATATTTTTTAAAAATGCCCTCGATTCTGATATTCATTCTGATTCTAGCATGGAGAGTAAACAATGAATAGGCTTTAGAGTCAGAAAGGATTGAATTTAAACATCACCATGTCCCTTGCCATCTGTCTGACGTTAAGCAAGTTACTAGACCTTGGCAAGCTCAGTTTATTTGTAGATCAGAATTTCCATTTTAAGATTTTGAGGGACTTAAAGAGTAAATATATTTAAAAAGCTTAGCGTGGTACTTAGTATGGTGTGGTCAACAAAACATTTTTTTCGTTACTTTTCTAGCATAGAAATAATAGTGATGCCTGTACTTAATGACAGATAAGTGTACTACCCCGATCAAATACTTTAGGAAATTCCTTGAAGCGGCAGTTTTTATGTCTCTGGCTCCTACAGAGTCATTAATTAACAAATAAGATCATATAAAATGGTGGTTAAGAGCAAGAACTCAAGCATCAAACCTTCTGGCCTGGAATCTAAACTCTGCTGTTTTTTAACTGGTGATTTTGAGCAAATTAATTAACCTTTCTGGGCCTCAGTTTTATAATCCATAGAAGAGGAAAAAGAATTGTACATACTTCATGAGATTAGCATGAGGATTAAATGAGTTCATACGCAAAGTATTTAGAGAAGTTTCTGACACATAGTAAAGCCATAGTATTAGCTACTCTATGAGACACAACCTATGCAAATTAAATTAAGAACTCAAAACTGCAGTATTTATATATGCACAAGATCAATCCACATACAAAACAAAGGAAATGAGAGAACTTCTACCTGTCGATAATGTTTTTCGATGTCTAGGATCCTGTCATGTAGAACAATGAAGAGATTGCTAGATTCCTCTTTAAGTCGGTCCTCAAACTTCAGTTGGAGCAATTGTCTGAGGAACCCAAAATCCACCTGAAGGGATTTAACCACCTAAAAATTGAAAAACATACATTACTGTAGAGAGCAAGGGTCCACTGTGCAAAGATTCCAGCACATCCCTTGATTCTGAGCATATAACCCGGGTACCTGGTCACCCAAAATCCACCTGAAGGGATTTAACCACCTAAAAATTGAAAAACATACATTACTGTAGAGAGCAAGGGCCCACTGTGCAAAGATTCCAGCACATCCCTTGATTCTGAGCATATAACCCGGGTACCTGGTCAGGGGCTGTCCTGCCTTCTAAGATTACCTCCCAGATACAGTGTTCATTGGGAAATTACAGAACTGTTATTCAATCCCACAGTGGGTAGGCCTTCAAAATGACAGTTATTTTACCGAACTAAGATATGCCAATGGAGTAAGGAAGAAGAGGTTCCCAGCCATTTCTTCTCATATGGAATAAAATACCCGTGTGAAGAATGAACTTTTGTCATACCTCAGAAGATGTAGTTTTCATGATGTGGTTTTCAGATCAGAAAAGATGGGCAAAACCCAGCACCTGTTGAATCTACTAGCCAAGCATTTAAATACACAACCAGCATGTTGACAAAGTATCATTTG